TAAGTAAGTAAGTACGAGAGAGAAGAGAAGAAGAAGAGAAGAGAGAGAGAGAGAGAGAAGAGAAGAGAAGAGAGAGAGAGAGAGAGAGAGAGAGAGAGAAAGAGAGAGGGCATTCATTTAGAAATCTGTAAAAATTAAATGGGAATGGGATCTTGCAGTGAAATTGAAAGCAATTAGATTCTAGAGTTTGTAAGTCGAGTGCCTTTCATCTTGAATCACTGAGTATGAAATTGAAACCCTAGCGAGGCTTTTTAGCCTCGTCTTTGATCAAATTGGGGAGAAACATTTATTTATTTTATTTTATTCAATGTTTTTGAGTTCTCAGTGTTCCTTTTGGATAAAAACTGGATTTCTCTGAAATGTCCTTTAGGAAGAACAATCCTTGAAAATTGTCAGAGCTATTCCAAATGGAAAAATATCTGTATGACTTGGGGATTTTTATGGCCATAGAAATCCACCACTGTCTATCGTTTGATCTGGACAGTAATGGTTGAAAAGTGAGTCCTACCAAATATTTAGTACCTGCTTTGGTGTATCATATGTCTGTATATGGTGTTGTGAGAATGTGAAACTTTCTTTACCTCAGTTGCATATCAATTTTTTAATGGTTTTCTTTTGATGTCCATAAACATGATCTTTTTGAAAAATACAATTTCATGTCATCGTTCCTTCACTTTCCCTGTGAGAAGAAGAGCAAGTGAGCACTAGAATAAATGAAGACCAGACAAAAATTATAAAAACCGATATGTAAGCTATTAAGAAAAGCATTTGAAGATTACAGATTACTTTGGTATAACGAAGAAATGACTATCTCTCTCATAAGTATTCAAATTTTAAGCTTAATTATCATTTGCCCCTTAAGTTAGACCAAGAAATGTGCCTTCTTTTGATTGACATCCAAAAAATTTTACTGTGTTCACTACGAGTTAAAGACACGTGCAGCGCACGTTGACAATGGAGAATGTAGGCACCAATTTACATTAAAGAAAAGAAACCATGTTGATAAAAAACTTATCGAACACCCAACCAAGATATCTCAGCAATCCTAAGTTTATAGTTACACCTATCTCTGATGCATGCAAGAAAGTAAGGGCTGGATAGTTTGAGACAATGAAATCTGATTGCCAAAAAAAAAAAAAGGAGAGAGAAAAGAAAAGAAAAAGAGGAAGAATGTAACTTCAAAAAGTGTTCTCATAGGAAAGATTAGTCAGTGGAGTTTCAGCTTTCCCCCTCTAGAATTTACACTTCGCCAATTCTACAAACCAGTGGACTAATTGATAGCTAGCACTTCCTAGGTGTTTCAAAGGCAACACAACCAACCCTCTTACATGTTGAAAACAGCATAACCACCAGTTCTTGTATTTGATTGAACACAATGTTACTTAGTCCTATGAAACCCTTTGGGCCCCTGATACCCCTTTAGTTCTGATAGGGCTTCCCATATGCTATTCCATTAACTGAAGCCTATCAGGGTAACAAACAAGATCCATTTTCTATTAAAAAACCAAGACATTTTATGCACCATTGATGCTGAGAAATCAACACACAAAATTGAGAAAGATTGCTCTAAAAAACACAAAATGCATTTAGTTTTCACTTAGACTTACAAAACCAAACCAACTACTAAAAGAGAATAAGGACTAACCAGAAAAATAAGCTTCACGGTATGGCTTCCATCATATCTCCAATTCATAGTTTTCAACATTTCATACATATAATAAAATAAAGAAATAAAAATAAAAAACAAAACATTAATACACCTACTCGTATTTACAATGATAATGGCTAGTAAAATACTAACTAAATTCCCAAAAACATTAAAAAAATAGCTTTAAAAATGTAATATTTACACATTTACAAAAGAATACCAACAAAAATCGGGTAGGAAAAATGTTGCTGCTCATAAAATCAACAAGGTTCTATGTGAAAACTAAACCGCAATAAGCAAAAAAAATTACACGTTTCAATTTCAGTTATGAACCAAATATGCTGAAATTTTATTTTATTTTTAACGAGGTTAACTTTATATAAAATACGCTGAAAAATTAATAAGAAGAAAGTGAGAAATGATTTCCAAAAACAATTCATGAAATTGAGAAATGAATGACATACATCTCATAAATGAACGACACACCCAGTTCACCAGAAAGGGAGAAAAAAGGCCAGGAGAGAAACAATGGATAAAACCAATTTCTTAGAAATTTTTAAACACATGAATAGGGGCGCAGGTAAAATGGTACTGCTTTTGCCATAAGAAAAGCAACAAGCGCCCAATTTTTTTTCTTCTTTACAGAAAATGGTGGATTTCAAAACTGAAACCCAAATAACCCAAAAAGATTGGGTAATATGTTCCCAACCCAAATGCCCAAAAAACTTGGTGACCTCTTAAATTATATTGCTAACCCAAATACACGAAAAATTGTCATTCCATGCTAGAAATCTCTGAGGAAGACACCCCACAACCCTAAACTCAATATCTAAAGTTGGGGTTTTTAGTGAAGCCCATAGAATTGCGAAATTGAAATCGCAGAGACGGATTCTTACCTTAACCGTTTGAAAACAACCTTATTGGATCCTTTCTTATTCCTTGAAAAAGCCTCTGCACGCCCGAGATCTTCCTGTTTCCGGAGCGCCTTTGCTGTGACTGAGAAAAGAAAAAGAAAAATTAGGGTTTTCGCGCAGAATTGGGGAGAAGACTCTCGCTATTGGGCGTGGCGCCGTGGCGTAGAGAGCGAGAGGGAACCGGGGCCAGCAATAGAGAGAGAGAGAGAGAGAGGCGTTGACCGTTTTCATCTCCGGTGGGAGCACTTTGTGCGTTTGCTCCCTCGAGACCATAGCCTTTTTTTTAATTAACAGGGTCTTGGTGGGTCATTCTGCTATATCCTTAGTGAACATATAGGTCCTATAGTTTTTATCAATACTTTCAACAATATTTATTTGGGCCAATCCATTACTTGTTTTTAGCCTTCCACTAAAATTAAGTCGTACCTCTTACTTAATACCTAAGTCAACTCTCTCTCATATTGATGTTTATTGGTACAACACCTAAATTTTTCTAAAATCTTATTTCCTAACATAGTTTTAAAATCTATTGCCACAAAAGATTATGAAATTTGCAATTCAAAAAATGGTATAGATCTTATGAATATTTGAACACCTAAAAAATGGATAGTCTACATAATGTGTTATAATATATATTATTTTTAGGCTTTAAAATCCTCGTTTTTTTTCACAACTGGAATGATCAAGGTTGGGACAATTGATTTGATGGTTTTCCGATGTCGGAACTATAATTACCGATGAGTTTTGAGGTGAGGCTTTATTTTTTCCGATAAAACCTTGGCCTTATAGGAAAAAGTTTATCTGAAATTTTGAGATCTATTTAAAATGAAAAATGTTTACATAAGCTTGAAACCTAATACTATAAAAGCACCTCAAAAATCAAGTAGAAAAGAGTCTTTTTAAATTAAAAAACTTGTCAATTGATCATCTCAACATCCAAAGATATGGATATAAAACAAAATAAAATTTTCAAGTCCTCAAACCAATGCATCTTGTAACAAATTATCTAGACCGTCTATTTCCAATACTTCTAAATTTGCTCAATGAGCACCCTTTTTTTAATTTTAAATTTTTATAATTAATTGGTGTATACTAGAAGCTATATTAATGGAGAATAAAAGGTGAAAGTTTGGGATGCATTTAGGTTGAACAAAATACAAGGGACGATCAGAGAGGAGAGCAGGTTCAATAAAATTAGATTACTCTGTCACAGTATCTGTTCCCTGAAAATGTCTAAGGAGAACAATCAACAACATAAGTATGTAGAGAACTATATGCAGCAAACTAAAAACCTATAAAATAAAACAGTATGAAAGACCCACAGAGAGGACTTCGGAGAGCATAGCCAAAGAATCTGATGCATTTACAAGAATGGCATTTGTAATCAAATGCCTGGCCAAGCCTCCAAGATATACTGGCTATTAGTGAACTATGAAACTTTTTCTCTTAACACATTTAGCATTATTATACCTTTAAGTTTATTCGTTTTTTCTTTATTCTACTTTTAAGATATCAAGTACTCTAAGTTTCGCTGACAAGCTATAAAAACAGAGAAATGGAAGTACGTTCTTGGATTTTCAATACTAATTAATTTCCAAGAGCTGAATAAAATAGATGAGTGCAGCATGAAAGGAGAAACCATGGTAGGAACAATGATTGCGCATAGAAGATGAACCAAAATTATATTCTAAGACGTGAATTCAGTGCAAGCAAAGTTTAATATATCCCAATAGACTGGAATTGTCATATATTCCACTGGTTTCATCTTCTTCCAATGAAAGGAGGGACAGCAATGAAGATTTTAGTCTCTCCAGCCACAACTAGACAGGAATCCCATGAGCGCTCCCACTCTCTCACCCTCACCATCCATCATTTATTGGATGATGATCATGGTTTTTCCATTGTACATTAGAAAATGGTAAAATTTGAATAAACTAGATTGAGACATGATCTATGGAAAAGTTCAAATAGAATAGATGCATACTTGTTGCCACCGATCTGTTCCCTCCTGTGTAAAGTATAATTACAGGGAAAATCCCCATATCCTTTGCACTTCTCATCAGGCAAATCAGAGAAGGAATGAGAATCAGTCTTTGAAGCTCAAAATTTTGGACTTGGAACTTGTAATAGAGCTGGCCATTTTTGTGGATTGGGTATGGCAAAATATGAAACTTGATCTAATGTTGAATATTGTACTCCACATACATTTCCACATGACCCATCTTCTCTTGTGTCAACACATTGGCACCCACATTTATATTTAGGCTTGTCCAATTGATGGCTAACCACTGCTGGAGTGATGATGATAATAAAGCAAAGAAAAATTGGAAAAGCCATGAGACCCAAATTCGTTCTCATGTTTCGTTTCTGCAAGCAATTGAACAAAAGGGAAGAGCATTTGATGTATGTGTAATGTATCTAAACCTTCTATGTTTCAGCCTACAAGAATGAAAGTCAAATATGGAATACAATCAGGAACTTAGTTGCTTCTAGGATTTTTTTGCTGAATCACATACACTGATTTTCATCATGAAGGATTGCTCAATCTTTTTTGAGATAGCAATACAGTTTAAATATGGATATTACGGGCTGAGAAGCATTATTACTTGTAAGCATGATTGCCCGATCTTGTTTTGCGTGTTTAATTACACTCTATAAGTTGTTTCTTGAAACCGGATCCAGTCCTGTGCGTGGTTCATCCATGTATACAACCTAATGGCATTGAATTTAAGTTGTAATTCTTTGTCTTTTTTCTGACAAAAGAAAGAACATTTTTGTTCTGGCTTTATCATAGAAAGAAAGAAAAACAAGAAATGTTTGGAAACTATAACTATAAGAAACGCATAAAGATAAAAGTAAAATCCCAAATGCCTAACTACCCTTTAATGGCAATGCAAGTAATTTATCTCAAATATCAGTGTAATGTAGGCCTAAATCTCCTCCTTTCCAAATTAGGTGGAATTTTGAGCATGACACAGTGAGACTAGCAAGAGTTAGGTAATGGAATAACATGTTATTTTGGGGAGACATGGGATGCGACAAATTTTCAGATTTTGCACACCTGAGGATCTCCAATAAGTGAAATAGCAACACTTAGCCTCCTCTTTATACCCCCACTGTATTGAGCAGTAAGCTTGTCCCCAACACCTCCATTATAGAGATTAAGGCTCTTCAAAGATTTCTCCACTGCCTGCATAAAGAAAATTTTCAGCCATATGCTCATCGAAACAGGCATAGATGCATATATGTACATGCATATACATAAAGGAAAATATGAATAGAGAAAAATGAGTACTTACACTTGTTAACACATCACCTTTGAGGTTCTTAGTCTACCAAAGAGTAACAAGTGCTCCCTACCAGTTAGTGTCTCCCATAACATGCTGTACCATATTGGAAACATCAAAAGTCTAAGAAATAGAGAAGTAGTTTTCTGATGGACTAAACATCATGTTCCAAATCATACAGTAAAAGACAGTCCATGCAACATTATGGACGTCAAAAAGATTTTATAAGTGGTTTTATAACATTATTTTGTCAAAGAAAAGTGAGCGGCATGTACTCATGCTGTGGACACATGCCCATGCATGTATATATTCTGTCCATATCTGTTCGTAGGTCCAAACCCTCAATGTATGCATGGACAGAAGTTAGAGACATAAGTCCCATCATCTGTAGCCATGTAGCCTTCATAAGAAACCTCAGATGAAATATAACTTAACAAAAGGAAATTATTTTGTATAATTTATTTTATCACCTAGTGATATAAGTTATAACGAATTTTCTCTTTTTCAAAATTATTAATTTTATTAAAGAAGGTAAACATATGAAATTGTTTTTTGTGGCACAATGTGTAGCAATGAGATCAGTCCTAATTTAACCAACCAAGAAAGAGAAAGAGAAGAGAAAAAAAAATAGTATAGGGCTGTTATTCGCTGACCATATTGATGAAGGCAGTCTTCCCGGAACCATTGGGACCAAGCACCAAAGCATTCCCCTCGATTCAATGCAAGAGACAAGCCACGAACAGCATATTTTGCAGGATTTCCATCCTTTCCAGGATAGATCTTTTTGAGGCTATTGCATATGATAGCATGACTTGTATTGGAGTCCTTCAGTAATTGTTTGACCACTTCTCTCTACAATCAGAGGAAATAGATGAAATTTCATTTCGTAACATGCAATAGTAAGCAATGAGTGTGTCATTCCGAAGAGACCAATCAGAAATATCTCAATATATAAGCTTTAAAATTCAGAAAATATATGATAAGAATTTAAAAATATATGAAGGCGGATTTGTTCTATACTGTTAAGTATAGCTCATCGATTGAAGAGAAATTAAAAAAAAAAAAACATAGATATAAGTTGTTAACATAAAATGAGGTCTCACATATTCTGAATCAACTAAAAGGTGTGGCAATGAAATTACTTCTTCACATGTGAAGAAAAAGCAATTTACCTCTTTCGAAACATCAGGTTTCTCAACATCTACAAAAACTTTACTGCCTTCTCGTTCAAGACTTAATCGTCCAAAATATGGAGAGCATTTCTTCCTAAAGGGCTTCAAGAAAAATAAAGGATGCTTTCTGATTCCACTCCCACGAGAAGCAACTTGATCCAAGTACTAAGCAAGTAGAAGAATTCCAATCCATTCTATGAGCATTATGATTAGAACAGTCATGCCATTGTCTTTATCACTCAAATCTTTCCAACTCATACCATCCATTCCCATGTAATTTCCCGCGAAAGAATACTCTGCAAACTCATATAGTCCTCTAAACAGGGAAAAACCAGGAACAAGTTCCATCACGAAAACCCATTTTCCTGAAAACCATAATCCATATAAACAATGTTATGCGTCATGGAAATGTAGGCCTAGACACGGACTTTTCATGAAATGAGAACATAGTATATCATACAATGTCCCTTTAGGTAGTACATAGGTAAATGTAATGCAAAGAGAAGCCTGCGTCCAAAGAAAATCATGAGCCATTCACTTACTAAGAAAGGTTGTATCTTCAACAAAGAATTGAAAAAGATAGGCTCTTAATAGCCCCAAACCAAATACGTATATGCATCCAAAAACTGCGAGCACAAAAATTTCATGATAGTAAGCCTAGATACCACGCATACATTTGCACCCCATGAAGACGTCTAAGAGTTGATAACAAAAAAGTGATTTGATGGAATATTTTCCTTTCAGGTCAAACTTGTAGCAGTCTTCACTTTGGAAAAGACTGTTGCCATTAAAAATGCAAGTGAAATCTCAGATTGATATAAGTAAAATAGAACACAGACTGTATGCCATAATCGCTTAATATGAAGATCTTCAATCCTGTAAAAAAGAAGGAATTCGTATTAAGAATTTCATTTTTATAGTCAATGGCAAAGGGAAGGGACTCTTGGCTCTGAGGTTAGGGCAGTGAAACCGCAACGATGTTGAGAAGGTTCCAATCCCACCTGCTCAATGGCACCCCCAGCCCCACCACAACAAAGAAAATCCATGGTCTAGCATGGTGTAGGAGAATATATTACCTATAATGGAGCCGAATATCACAAAACATAATATATAAACCAACAAAATGGAAAGGAAAAAAGCATAGGAAACAACCTAATAAGGGCTATCCCCAAGTCCATGCATTTCATCATGATCCGCAAGTTCGTTTGCTTCTTATAAACTAAGTATGCCAATATCACCTACATGAGCATGAATGAACACAAGGTGAATAAGGAAAATGCCATTCCAAAAAAGGTGACTTCTCAACATCTATTTATTGAAATCTACATATTTTATGCAAGGTTGTCTTAGCCAAAGTGTAAGAATCCAAGGATATTTAACAAAGAACACCTTTCAATATTTGAAAGGGTGCATGCCTGAGAGTCTAAGAGTATATATGGTAAAATATTTTTAGGTTCATGACACTTTCTGTTTATCATTAGCAACATTATTTTTGGGATTTTCATATTATCATGACAACGATCTGAAGATACATGGGAAGCACCACATGATTATTTTTGTATTTTATGGTATTTTTTATTTTCAGAAGCCCTGAAACAATTTGTTTAAGAGATGATAAGAGTGATACAGTTTGATATTCGAGTTTCAGTTATATTCAGATTCCTATGAAAATCAGTTTTGATGTTATAAAAGTAGTTACGATCTTGTTCAGCTAAGATAGGGAGGAATTATAACCCGTAGTCATCTAGGACTCAAGTAATAAGAGCACCTATATTCAATTATATGCTGTGGGCTGTATACGTAGAGTTATTTCTAACCATATTCAATTCTCAGCAGTTATGTGTAGTCTTTTCTTGACTTTGGCCAAATAAGAGCTTAGACATTTTCGCCATAAGGCAGATGCAGGTTCGGATATTATACATTGCAGCTAGAAACAATATCAGGATTGGTTCTTCCACCCATTCGACTATATACCGTATATATGTATTGATTTATTGGAACTTAATAATGAAGAAATGAAAATGCAAGCCCATCATAAACATTTATTTTGTTTTTATATGCTTTAGGAAAATCGAAAAAGCACATAGCTCCCCGCATCTACTTTTTGTTTTCAATTGAGAAATTCGGGTTTCTGGAAATTGAAGAAGGAAACCACACTTCTCGTTTAATATTTGACTATGATCAACGTCAATGCTCCATTAAGAATCTGGGTTCTAATGTGCAATGCTTCCCAAAAACATGTTTGATACAAGAACTTTGAAGCATAAATTTTTCATCTTACTGGAAGAAGTAACTCAACCACCCATGTGAAGAAAAGTGGAACGAGAATTGTAGAGAAGTCCAGCCTAATGTTTGTAGAGGTTTGGGCATTTTTTTGACAAAATCAATCAGTATTTTTACTCCTCCACCTTTAAGAAAGTAGAGGTATGCATTTGATACCTACACATATAAGAAACTTGAGTATATTATTCATCACCAATGATCAAGGAAACATAACAAAGAAAAATATAGAAGAGAAACAGAGACATTCTTTTGTGTGTGCGTGTAAGCATCTTAAGGAAAGCTACCTGACTTCCCATGCAGTTTGAATAATAGAAGCTATGCAATTCAAGTCAAACGTGAATTCATTGAATGGTATCAAATGAAATCCATAATCCTACATTGCAATATAGTCTAGTGCAGAAATGGTTGGTATAGAATCTATTGCTCCAAAATGTGTTTCTCCAACGAAATTATATTAATTTTTAATAACAAAAAATAAAATAGGTAAAAGAAAAGTATACAATAAGACAATTTACCTTTGGTATGAGGAGGTCACAATCAACATTAGCCATTAGATGTAAAATCAAGAGGGTGGGGTATCACATTAACTAGGACCAAAGTTGAAAAGAGAAATTTTTGAACTTTAAGACACACCCCAGGCTATCAGATTCTATATTTGATGGCCCTGAGTGATTGTGACTTTCTTGCACCAAAAGCACAAAGAAATAGAGAGAGAAATAAATTTCCTATACAAAATAAACACATTATTATTTTTTGTAATGGCTGTATTGCAGTATCTTACACCTAATTGTCGCTGTGCAACATGCATGGTTACACACTTCAACCCAGCCACTTCCACATTTGATGTGGGAATCTTGGAAACATTTCTTATTTGTGCTATAGTTGGGTTGGTGTAAACAATAACTAGATACCAAACAATCCAAAAAATTAATTTGCAGCTCTTTCTATACACCCAATATAGTTCATGTTTCTTTGTGAGTTTTCATTTTTAGGCAGCAAGCTGGGGTTGGGAAAGATTCCTGCCAATGCGCACTAATTTGCACAAATCAGTAAAGGACAGGAAATCACAGAGAATGGTGACCCTACATTCCAGAACCAATAAAAATGCAAAAGAATGAGCACACTCAGATAGCTATTTGACTTAACGCCCCATATCATGGCATAATTGATGAAGTGGGTTTTCAGGGAGTGGATCTGTTATGATACCTACCATGTTTAATGAGCGTGGAAGACGTGTCAAGCGGGGTGGAGCGCTCTTAACACCATTCATCTTAATTTTACTTTTCTTGTACCAGATGATCACATTAAGCTTAATTTCATTAGAGTCCAAAACATCATAGGCTGCATAAGAAAATGTCTTGCTGCACAATCAACCTTCCTGAAACAAGATAAAAATAAATAAATGATAATTGTAAAAATATGAAAAAAGGAGCATTAGGAAAGAAGATATAATGACCAGAAAGAAATTCATTAGTTTGCTTCCTTGAGTTTCCCTTCCTATATCCCCTGAACAGCTCCTCATTTACAGCAAATGAGCTACTTCGCCATAGGTGTAATGCCTGCACACATTTGGCCTTCGCACCAAATTAAATAGATATAAAAAAGATTATGTACACATGCATAGAGAGAGAGAGAGAGAGAGGTTTGTACTTATTTAGCAAGGTAAGGATTTATATCTCTTGGAATAGAGAGTGATGTACCTTGTTGATATATAATAGAAGCAATGGAAAATGAAAGGTTAATGTTTGGGATGCATTGAGGTTGAACAACAAACAAGGGACGACCAGAGAGGAAAGCAGGTTCAAAAAAATTAGTACATCTTATCATAAAATATGTTCCCTGAAAATGTCCAAAGAGAACAGTCAATAACATAGGTGTGTAGAGAATTAATATACAACAAACTAAGAAAAAACCCATAAAATAAAACGGTACGAAACACCCACAGAAAGGACTTCAGAGAGCATAGCCAAAGAATCAGATGCATTAGAAAAAATGGCACTTGTAACCAAATTCCCAGCCAAGGCTGCAAGATACTCTTAGTTATTAACCCAGATGAAAAAACGATGAAAATATTGAACATTATACCTAAGTGAACAATGAAACATTTTTCTACCACACTTAAGCAGGATTATACCTTTTGAGTCTATTCTTTTTCCCTTCTTCTACTTTTAAGATTTCAAGTACTGTATGTTTCGCTGACTAGCTATAAAGACAAAGAAACAGAAGTTTGTTCTTGGATCTTTTTTTTTGGGTAAGTATTTAATAGTGCTAGAACTAATTAATTTCCAAGAGCTGAATAAAATAAATGAGTGCAGCATGAAAAGAGAAAACAATGGTGGGAACAGTGATTGAAATATAGAAGATGAACCAAAATTATATTCTAAGACATGTGAATTCAGTGCGAGCAAAGTTTAATATATCGTAATAGACTATGGAATTGATATTCCACTGGGTTCATCTTCTTCCAATGAAAGGAGGGACAGCGATGAAGATTTTAGTGTCTCTCCAGCCACAACTGAACAGGAATCCCATGGGCGCTCCCACTCTCTTGCCCTTACTATCCATCATTTCTTGGATGGTGATAACGGTGCGTCCATAGTGCATTAGAAAATGATAAAATTTGCCTAAACTGGATCGAGACATGATTCTTGGAAAAGCTCATATAGAAAATATGCATATTTGTTGCCACCAATCTGTTCCCTCCTGTATACAATATAATTACAGGGCAAATCCCCACATCCTTGCACTTTTCATCAGTCAAATCAGAGAAGGTATGCGAATCAGTCTTTGAAGCTTGAAATTTTGGACTTGGAAGTTGTAATAGAGCTGGCCATATTTGTGGAGTGGGTATGGGCACAATATGGAACTTGATTTAATGTTGAATACTGTACTCCACATACATTTTTGCATGACCCATCTCCTCTTGTGTAAACATAACGGCACTCACATTTGTTTTCGGGCTGGTCCAAGTGATCATTAGCCACTAATTGAATGGTGACAATAATAACACAAAGAAAACTTGGAAAAGCAATGAGACCCAAATTCGTTGTAAATTTTCGTTTCTGCATACAATTGAACAAAAGGGAAGAGCATTAGATGTATGAGTAATGCATCTAGACCTTATATATTTCACATTAGGCATCTTATAAGAAGAAATCTTATGCATAGATGCGGAGATGAAAGTCTCTCTCTCTCTCTC